TTTTCCCCCTTTTCTTTGGCCATGCCCCTGGCACCTGGTGATGTATAAGTGGTTGGGGGTCACCACAACATGGGGAACTGTATTATGGGGTCACGGCATTCGAAAGGTTGAGAACCACTGCTTTAGAAGCTCTATCACAGGGCTTTTCAAACTTGGCCCTTTCATGACTCGTGGACTTCAACTCCCAGAATTCCTCAGCTTCTGGGAGTTGAAGTCCACAAGTCATGAAGGGGCCATAGTTCCTCATTCTGGCTCAGGAATTCTGGGAGTTGAAGTCCACCAGTCATGAAGGGGCCACAGTTCCCCCATACTGGCTGAGGAATTCTGGGAGTTGAAGTCCCTGAGTCATGAGGGGGCCATAGTTCCCCCATGCTGGCTCAGGAATTCTGGGAGTTGAAGTCCACCAGTCATGAAAGGGCCACAGTTCCCCCATACTGGCTGAGGAATTCTGGGAGTTGAAGTCCCTGAGTCATGAGGGGGCCATAGTTCCCCCATGCTGGCTCAGGAATTCTGGGAGTTGAAGTCCACCAGTCATGAAAGGGCCAAGTTTGAAGAGCCCTACTCTATGAAAATGAAAGGGAGAAACATGGGAACTTTTTTCATGAAAAGTGGTCAATTCCCTCAGAAGTACCGGAAGCCTTCTTCTCAAAGGTTGGCCTGTCTCAGCCCCAGAGTCAGAGCAGGAAATCAGCAACACAGGCAGAAGCCCCGGAGGGACTTTGCGTGTGCCGCAAGTCAACGCTTGGGGAGACGCGCAACGGCTACACCGCAATCCCAGGAGCGCCAGTGGGAGTGCAGCGGTATGTACGTTTGCCTCGCTCGGTCTGTCTCCTAACAATGTGGCCTTTACTGAAACATCAAGCACTGCTGCACGTCTTGATGAGCGATCCGGTCTCAGGGTAAGAAAGAAACACAACACGCGGACAAACACACACATACACACATCCCCAGCACCACACCCCAGCCTCCGTTCTTTCCATGGAAACTCGGGCTGGAGAGATTTTTCTCCCCAGAGAGGAGGCCTTTGCACAAGAAAACAACGCAACCGTTGCCAAGGCGATGGCAGCCAGGTCACGCCCTGGGTGGCTCTCTCTTCGGAAAGAGCCTTTCCGAATGGGGATCAGCAGATCCCATCGATCCACCTTTAGTTGGGCTGGCTGAAAGGTCACCAAACCTTGTGAGTCCCCCCAAACTCTTTTTCACTTTGCTGAGAAGAGCAGAGATGCCGAAGGGAAGGGAACCGGAACCGACATCCTTCAACAGAGGAAGCTGCAAAAGTTTCCAGGTTGGGGTTAGAATAGAATAGAGCTGGAAGGGACTTTGGAGGTCTTCTAGTCCAGCCCCCTGCTCAAGCAGGAGGACCTATGCCATCTCAGACAGATGACTGTCTAGCCTCTTCTGAAGGAAGGAAGGAAAGAAGGGAGGGAGGAAAGAAAGAAGGGAGGGAGGGAGGGAGGGAGGAAGGAAGGAAAGAAAGAAAGAAAGAAAGAAAGAAAGAAAGAAAGAAAGAAAGAAAGAAAGGAGGGAGGGAGGGAGGGAGGGAGGGAGAGAGAGAGGAAAAGAAAGAAAGAAAGAAAGAAAGAAAGGAAGGAAGGAAGGAAGGAAGGAAGGAGGGAGGGAGGAAGGAAGGAAGCAAGGGAGGGAGGGAGGGAAGGAAGGAAGGAGAGAGGAAAGAAAGAAAGAAGGGAGGGAGGGAGGAAGGAAGGAAGGAAGGAAGGAAGGAAGGAAGGAAGGAAGGAAGGGAAGAGAAAGGGAGGGAGGGAGAGAGCTAAAGCTAAGGAGAAATTTCCTGACAGTGAAAACAATTAATCACTGGAACAACTTGCCTGCAGAAGGGAGGGACCCTGGAGGTCTTCTAGTCCAGCCCCCTGCTCAAGCAGGAGAACCTATGCCATCTCAGACAGGTAACTGTCTAGTCTCTTCTTTAAAACCTCCAGTGATGGAGCACCCATGATTTCTGGAGGCAAGCTGTTCCCCTGGCTGATTGTCCTCACTGTCAGGAAGTTTCTCCTTAATTCCAGGTTGCTTCTCTCTTTGGTCAGTTTCCAACCATTGTTTCTCCTCCTTCCCTCTGGTGCTTTGCTTATGTCAGCCTCATCCATTTGGGCAGCTGCACTTCAACCACCTCCTTCCATCAATTCAGCCTGGGCTGAAGCCAATTGTCACCTCCTTTGCATTGGACAGAGCGGCTTGCTTAGCTGGGAAGAACTCTTTGTAAGCAGAAAGTTTACCCATGCCTGGAACAACACAATTCTACTTAAAGAGTTCAATCCAACACGGCAGGACTCGGGAGAACATTCCACCTGGTCAAAGATAAAGTTAGGATTTGCCCAAGCACACAACTTGTAGTTCTGCGCCTTGCATTGTATGAGTTCAGCATCACAACAGGTTGTTGACAAAATCCTTTGTGTATGTTAGGAAGGGCAATCTTTTCGGGGCAGGGGCTATGATTTGCACCCTGAGGGGCTGAAATTACAGCACTACAATCACGGTCTATTAATGACCATGACACAAGAGGCCACAGGGTGTGATAGTGGGTTTTGCAGTCAATTTTTAACACTGTTGTCCCATGGCTAAATTAGAGCACTTAATTTCAGATCATTCTAAGAAGCTTGGGAGATGATAGAAAGTGGAACCAAATATTCCAGGGATCTTCCGATTCCACCCTGGCTCTTTTAAAACAAGAACATGTTGTTGGAAAATCAGCCACATCACAACCAAATTTCAACAGCACCAACTTGAGACCATGGGGGCCTACAGTTGAGGGTTGGGGGTAGCAATAAAACACAATAATTTTAGGTTAGAAAGTTACAGTCCAAAGTGTTGATGAAGAAAATGAATAAAGTGAATAAAGTCGTTCCTTTTTTGTGCTTCCAATAAAATAAGATTACTGACGTAGAACTACGAAGGAAATGTATTTCAATATGTTGGAAAGTTAGTCCACACCAGAAGAAGTCTCACCTGTCCTTCCGCACTGAAAAAGCACAAATATATTCCAAAGTATTCCTTGGTTAAAATAGAGGGGATGCACAACACTGGAAAACGGTCAGAATCAGACATTTAAGAGCCAGAAGGAAAGTTGGCAAATTTTCAGCAACTTCCTCTCCTGATGTCTAGGAAGGGGAGCTGGCAGTTGACCTGAAATCAGTTTTCCCCTCTCTTATCATCTACCTAGGCCAGGGGTAGGCAACCTTGGCTCTTTTATGACTCATGGGCTTCAATTCCCAGAATTCCTCAGGCAGCATGGGGGAACTATGGCCCCTTCATGACTCGTGGACTTCAACTCCCAGAATTCCTGAGCCAGCATGAGGGAACTATGGCCCCCTCATGACTCATGGACTTCAACTCCCAGAATTCCTGAGCCAGCATGAGGGAACTATGGCTCCTTCATGACTGGTGGACTTCAACTCCCAGAATTCCTGAGCCAGCCTGGCTCAGCTTGCAAACCTCTCCCTTCCCCCTCAGCATGGCTGGCTCAGGAATTCTGAGAGTTGAAGTCCACGAGTCATAAAAGAGCCAAGGTTGCCTACCCTTGGTCTAGGGAACCAGACAATTAGTTTATTTATTTATGAAATTTATACACCATCCAATTCACTCATAAGGCAACTCTGGGTGGCTTACAAACAATAAATAGAAAAACTTTTTTTCTGCCAGAAACCTGACTTGCCATCACTCCGATCCCCACCTCCCCACTTTTTGTGGACCCCTTTATTTCTGTGCAAGGGAACAGGCTGTGTCTGAATCATCTAAGGCCCAACAAGGGGTTGGACTGTGCCCTGGGTCCATCCCACCTGGAGTCCCCCCATGGTGACCAAGTCTCAACAAAACAGATTCAGGCTTTACGTCTTAGAGTGATGTGGCTTATTTAACCTACCAATAAACTATGGTTGCCACACTCTCCTTAAGCTCCTGCTTCATGGGTGGGACCACATCTCCCAACAGGGACCACCTGGTGGGAGCTGCAGCGATCAGGCCAAGAAGCTCCAGGCTAAACATTTACACACCGCTGTTCACTGAATTTGCAGAGATGCCTTGTGCCCCTAGCCCCACAGTACATCCCAAGACAAATTCCACACAACGTCATCACAACAGACTCCCATCTTCCGAGGTCTGCTCCTAAACATAAAAGCCAGCTTTCAAAACGATGACATGTAGACATGTGATCTTATTCATACATTCACACAGCATATTTAACCAAATCAGGTGAAGCCATAATGGCTCCATTCCCACAATAGGTTAAGCCCGCTTGCTGAGCCTTTGGTTAAATCGTGGCTTAATGTATTGCACAAACCAGGAAAATGGGCTGATTCAGCAATCAAATGAGCATCCTGTGTGAACACAATCCTGATATTTGCATAAACGTTTGACCCCCGCCTCTCACTTTGGTTGTTGAAAACACATCTACACACCCTACAGGAATGTGTCCCTGTCACTTGCAGAGAGATGTGGATGCCACAGGTCTGGAATGAACTCAGGAAGAGAGGACTCTAAGCCCAACAGACTTCTATGTCCTACCCCAGTCAAAGCAAAAACGCCGCAAACCCAGGTGTGTAAAATCAACTATTTTCTTTCAACAAGTCAACATGGTCCTCTTAAGCCAGACCAACATGTTATACGAACCTAGCAAGTCTGTTTTGTTTTGCACTTTCCATGAACCCGGATCAAAATCCTGCATACGTAGCAGAATTCCTAAAGGGACAGGGTGCCTCTGAGAACAACCAGAGTGCTTCTCCTCCACTCCAGGCCGAGGTCCCAGATTCAAGAAAAGAGGCGTCAGATGTTGACAATCAACTCCGCTGACCCAGTGGCCGCAGGAAGCCCCTTTCAGCACCCTGGACAGAGGCGGGCGCGCTGTCCAGGGTGCTGAATGCTGACCCCCCGACCCCCGCTCTGCGGGACGAGGCCGCCGGGAGGGGCCAGGGGACCCTTCGGACCGGAGAGGGCCACGCCGGAGCCCGGCCCACCCCTGCCCAGCCACCGCCCCGGGCCCGGCCACCCACCTGAGGAGGTGCTGGTATTCAGGCGCCCTCCACAGAGGCACTGCAGCATATGCCTGCTTTTGATCCAGAGCAGCCCCGTGATCTTCATGGGGTCCCGCCGCGGGCCCGCAAAGGCGCCCGGGGGCCCCCGCCGGCAGCTAACGGCCGCCCCGAGCTGGGCAGCGCCCCACCCCGCCGGGGGTCCGGCCGCCCAGAGGCCCGGCCCAGGGGCGCATGGAGGCGGCGGCGGCGGCGGCAGGTGGCGGCGAAGTTGCGGATCGGCTGCCTTCCGGAGCGACTTGCCGGGAGTTGGCCGAGCGGCGAGGGAGGGGGGAAGGGGGGTGGGAAGGCGAGGCGGGAGACGGACGTCATGGCCCGGAGGGGGAGGCGGTGCCGGGCGCCGGCCGCACCCCCTGCCGCCGGAACAGCTGTCGGGCTCGGCTCGTAGGCGGCGGGGGGGGGAAGCACCTCTGCCCCCCCCCGCGCCCACTTCCCTCCTGGCGACGGTCACCTGAGCACGAAGCTGCCCGGACTGCGCCTTTGCAGCGGTTCCTTCCTGAACTGGCCGTAAAGTCCCTGTCCAGCTATTGGAGTGACCGGCCAGTGCCCCCCCCCCCGCAAAGCAAAGAACTCAGGACTCTACAATCTTGTTCAACACTCACACTATTCAGTCCAGACCAGAGTTTCTCAACCTTAGCAACTTATATATATATATAATTATATATTATAGATAGATAGATAGATAGATAGATAGATAGATAGATAGATAGATAGATAGATAGATAGATAGATAGATAGATAGATAGATAGATAGATAGATAGATAGATTAAAAAAAATCTGTTGGGTGAGGCACCCAATCTATCAAATATAAATCAGTCTGTTCTGCGTTTCGCTCCAATCTAGGAGCATGTTTTGCAGGCAGACCTCACATACTGTGAACACTATAAATTCAAAATTTGTGGCTGGCGAAGAGTTAGTGGGAGACCAGTATAGCTATTTCAGAAGCAAAAGAGGGCAGTTTCAGAAGAGAGTGTGTTTGAGAATACGCAAAGCGCCATCCTGTCACCGAACCAATACTTATAGAGTTGTTTCTGGATGACAAGAGTGCAACAGAAATTGAATAAACCAACTGATAAAAATATAGGAATTTGGATCGGTCTCTCCAGCCCAAGAAACACAGCCGTGAGATCATGACGTGATCATGACGGCCCAGCTGGTTGTGTGAATGTTCCATCTTCCTCTGAGCTAGAAAGTTAATTATTAACTAACTGGTGTTATTTTTGCTGCCTTTCTCACTCAGTCTACTGACTCGACACCTCCCCCTCCTCCCCCGAGTCCTGTCCTGCACTTAACAAACTCCTGCTTTCCTTAACAGGAGCCCCCAAATTGGAGAAAGTTACAAGTGGGAAAAAGCACCCCTGATCTTTAGACACAAAAACTGGCATGTAGGGGACGGATTAAGAAATGATGGATCAGCTGCAAGCAAGTATAGTGGGGGGGGGGGTTGAAACCCCAGATAGTGGTGGGGTGGCCTTGCCTGGAGGGAGTCTTGGGCAGACCCCAGCCGACTAGGCCAAAGCCCTGCCTGGGTTACAACAGGCCTTAATTGCACAGGTGTCCTTCTTATTTTGATTATCAATAATGTTTATAGCTCAGGGTTGAACTGTGGGGTCCTTGGTGCTCTCTGAGCTTGGTGGTTTTCTTGCAGACATTTTATTACCCAACTAGATAACAACATCAATGCTAGAAGGCAATGGCGTTTGCAGAGGAGGAGGAAGGGGGGAGGAGGAGGAGGAGGAGGAGGAGGAGGAAGAGGGGGGAGGAGGAGGAGGAGGAGAACTGTGAGGTCCTTGGTGCTCTGTGAGCCTGGTGGTTTTCTTGCAGACGTTTCATTACCCAACTAGGTAATGTCATCAGTGCTAGAAGGGAGAGGGATTTGGAGGGTGGGGAGCAGCTCAACCATTAAGAAAGAAAGCAACATCCAAGGTTAAATACTTGTAAGGGGTCTCTTTGGGACCCCAGCCTCATGGGCCATACCTCACCCGCAGGTACACCCTGCCAGCCTCTCCCCTTTTTATATATATATGGGGACAATGATTGCAAGCCCACACTCCTTAGGGACTCGGCCATGGGTGTTTGTGGAGGGGAACAGTGAGGGAAGGGAACAGTGAGGGGAGAGAAGGGGAGGGGAGGAGAGGGGAGGAGAGGAGAAGAGAGGAGAGGAGAGAGGAGGGGGAGAGGGAATAAAATCAGCCTAAACTCCTTGGTGCCTACAGATCTAGGGTGGGGATGAGGAGGGCACGGAGATTGACAGAAGAAACCTCCAATGGGCATTCTCCTTTGGAAAGGAACAGCATCTGGCCCATAATAACCATCTGAATGAAGGGCCCTCCCTGCAACCAATGGGGGAGGGCAGAAGGCGAGCATCAGCCCCCCCCCCAGAACCAAGCTGTGATTAAGCCAGACGGAAACCGGGGACAGACAAGCCTCCAGACAAAGCTTCAGCTGCAGAGCCCTTTCCTCCCAAAGAAGGCTTACAGAACAGGGGGAGGGGGGCAGGAGCACCCTGAGGATCTCTGGGGGCGGGTTTTGGGGGCATTTGGGGTGGGGGGGGCTGTGAACTCCAGAAAAGACCTCAGCATAAACCAAAAGGGTCCCATAAGAACGAGCTGCAAGATGACCCAGCTGGAGAATCGGCTGAGCGTCTCCTTCCCAAAAGGGCTGCTTCCTTCAGAGGCCCGGCTCCTCGGTGGAAGCGCGGCCACCTTCCTTCTCCCGCGTGCCCAGTTGCCAAGCAGTGGGGCGCAGCAGCTGCTGCTTCCACTCCCAGAGAGCCAGGAGGAGGGCGCCGTGGGGCCTGGAGCCTCCCTGCTGCCCGGGGAGCATGCAGAAAACAGCGATAGGCAGGTAGACTGCTCTGCACTGGCATTCCATTGCCCGGAAGAGACGGGGCGGGTCTCGGATGCAACCAAGCAACGTGGATAACCTGGTGATGGAGTTAAAGCTACTTCCTGGGCTCAGAGCATCATTCGGAGCCCTGAACTAATCAAACAAATTATGTGGGGAGGGACATTTTACCAGAAGAAAACAGAAGATGACATTGGACAGACACAGGCATTCAATCTCTTTAAAGGGCCTTCCGGGGATTCTGATCAAGGTTAGCATGTTGTGTGAATGATCCACTAAACTTGAGGTGTCCAGCCTGGGCAACTTTTAAGACTTGTGCACCTCAGGTTCTCTGGACTTTGAGACGTGTGGGCTTAAAGATCTGTGGACTTTAAGACTTTTAAGACTTGTGGACTTTCAACTCCCAGAATTCCCCAGCCAATCATGCTGTCTGAGTAATTCTGGGGGAGGGGGTGTGTGTTTGACGTCCACAAGCCCTAAAGTTGCCAAGTTGGACACCCCTGTACTAGATGGTTTCTTGAATTGATGAATCATACTATGTGAATACAGCAAATGTCTAGTTGCAGTGTTTCCAGGATCAACTTGCAATGCCCATCTTTTTTCTATTGACACCAGAAAAAAAGAAAAAGCTCCAAATCGAAGATGTACACCAAAACATCAACTTTTTCCAGATTCAGATACTGCTCCTCCCCAACTGCCTCTGCTAGGAGATACTGGGGCTATAGGAGCTGAAATCCAAAATATCCAGAAGGCACCATGCTAGGCAAGCAAAATCCATCCTAGGTGTCTTTGAAGGCAGGTGCTGATGTGTTTATGTATGGACAGACCCATGACCAAAACATACCCACTAAGCCACTAAGCCATTAACAGACTTATATAAATATGTTGTGGCAACTAAGCTAAGGACTACAGGTGGTTCTCGACTTACAATACAATACTAACACAATCCGGGCTTGCGTAAACAGAGGCATAGAATAAAGATCACGCGAAGTATTAGTATCACTTTATAAAACCCTAGTGAGGCCACACCTGGAATACTTCAGCCAATTTTGGTCTCCAATCACAAAAAAGATGTTGAGAGTTTGGAAAAAAAATCAGAGAAGAGCAACTAAGATGATCCAAGGCCTGGAGAGTAAAACATACGAAGAATGACTGCAGGACTTCAGTTTGACTAGTCTAAAGAAAAGAAGAAACAGGGAAGACAGGATAGCAGTGTTCCAGTATTTGAAGGGCTGCCCCAAAGAAGAGGGGGTCACGTTATTCTCCAAAGCACCAGAGGGCAGGATGAGAAACAATGGATGGAAACTGATCAAAGAGAGAAGCAACCTGGAATTAAGGAGAAACTTCCTGACAGTGAGGACAATTAACCAGTGGAACAGAAGTTGCCTTCAGAAATTGTGGGTGCTCCATCACTGGAGGTTTTTAAGAAGAGACTGGACAGTTGCTTGTCTGAAAAGACATAGGAGCACCTGCTTGAGCAGGGGGCTGGACTAGAGGACCTCCAAGGTCCCTTCTACATCCGCAATGGAGCCCAAGATTTCTGTTGCTAAATGAGACAGTTTTTAAGTGATTCCACATTCTGTCCACATGTTTAAGTTCACATTCCGGACAGAGAGGACCGCTGGTTTGAAAGAGGGGTCAAAGAGGCCATCTATGTTAAAACTGAGCAGCCTTCTTCCACCCATCTCCTGCCCACAACACGCTCCTTTCAGCAGTCCCAAGAAGGCTCCACACCCATTTGCACTCTGATTCAGGTGATCCGGAGGGCACAGCCAAACCTCCAAGTGGCCTCAACGACTCTCAGAGAGAGTACTAACAACCAGAGGACTGCAAGGAATATAAATCTTTCCACTCCCCACCATTCTGTCAGAACATCCAGATTCAGCCAGAGTTTCCAAAGAGCATTAACCTTGTGAACTCTCAAGCTTCCTCCTTCCCTTATATATTCAAGATGGACAGTATTTAATATTTATGTTATGTGTAGGGTTTCCTGCCTAAGCAGGGGGTTGGACTCGATGACCTCCAAGGTCCCTTCCAACTTTATTATTATTTATTTATTATTATTAATAATAATAATTAATTATTATTATTATATGTTGTATATAGTATGTTTAGGTGTGTGTCATGTATGTCTTTCACTTTGAGAGGGGGCAACGCAATTTCATTTTTGATGTGTGCCATTGTGCCCATAGTTAAAAAAAATGACAATAAAGGTAATCTTATCTTATCTTGAGCAAAATGGGCTGAAAGTAACTAAAGGAAATTGAGCACAAAAAAAGCACTACACAAAACTGCACAAGAAGAGAAGACACCTGGCTTTGTAACATGAACAAGGTGTTGGAATAGTGCTTGACCGCAAGCAGTGTGTGAGCCAGCCGTGAGAGAGAGTCGCAAAGAAAAAAGGCAAAGACAGTT